TTGCTATGGCGGTTTTCGGCCCATAACATCCTTATGCTACAACCCTTCAGATGCAACAGGCACCGGTTCCCTTGTCTCGAGGTAAGCAGTTATTATGCGTTTTTTGCATCTATACAATGCAGAAAACGCATATTGGCGAGAGGTTGTCAGTGTGTTCGTCTGTACCGATTTTTCATCTCAAGACCTACGGAAACTACAGAGCTGAAACTTTGAGAACTTAATATACGTGCACGTAGGAGCTCCCATCCCCAAAATGGGCACTCTTAGTCATGTACGAGCTCGCGAAAGTTTTTTTCGGGTAAGTCTCTAACTTGGGAACTAGAAAAGCTAGAAAATTTTTGATAAAATAACCCCCCCCCCCTCGCAACGTATTTTTGATACGATGCGCCCAAAAAGGTGACGCACATACACCGAACAGGCGTCCGACGTGTAGAGCATCTCGGTGAAATCACTAACATGGGATCGGGAGATGGGGGGTGAGACTGTTGGCGAAGCGGCGGGTTGGGGGGACGGGGGAAGGGGGGAGGGCGAAAGAGAGTTTTCTTCACCCCCGAAACCGTCTATGTCTGTTTTATTGACCCAATTTTTCGGCATGGATGAACGAAATTTCAAAATCATCTGATTTGGATCTACAAAATCTTAAAATTGTCTTGTTTGCTTGAAATCTTAGACTTTCGATGTCATATGTACGAAATCTGTAGTTTCTATACGTGAATTATTATGATTCCTTAATTTTCCTTTACGAAACTGCTGTAGCTATGGGATTTTTTTTTTGAATCTGTCAGTGCTAAAATTGACGGTATTTTCAGTGCTGAATTTGACAAAGATGGCGAATTTTGTGCATTGGCTGGTGTGGCGAAGCGTATCAAGCTGTATGACTTTCGGGCAGTCCTAGCAAATCCCACTGCATATCATTATCCGATGACACAGATCCAATGCGCTGCTAAAATCAGGTATCCTTTGAGCTAACAAAACTTCTCAAATTTATTGCATATATGCGTGAAGAGGATGTTAAATGCATAGTCTGGTTTGCTCCAAATCGTTTTTATCAATGCTGCATTGCTTTGGTGGTCAGCCTGCTGACGATTCTGATGTTCGTTTCCCTTTTTTCGAAGAATTAATTAGTTAACTGGTCAATGAAAAAAAGGCCAAACAAATGTATTGGAAACGAAAATTGGTTTAAATATATAACGTGGGGAATTAAGTGTTGAACCGTAAATGGTGAAATATGGGCCGCCAATATGAGCCTTAAAATATAGGTAGGTGGAATAGAAGAATAGAAGGATTCCACGTGAATGTCATGTGTATAAAGAAATTTTATGATTTTGAAAATTTTGGAAAGATTGAATTTGAAAAATGCGTGCTGCGATTCTTGTAATAGAAAAACGGGAAAGATATTAGAGTTGAAAATGTATTTAAGACACACTATCATGTAAAAAAAAGAAAAATCATGTATTGTGAATATGTGGAAATTGGTCTGTCTGTGTTTCATCCCTTGCCTGTAAGCACAGACAGTAAATGCTGCGTTTAAGGGTGTGATTCATCAGTACAGCCCGCTAACCACCATGTGAGACGTAAAATACAAATGACTAGCCGTTTCGAGATGTCATCACCAGGCCTGGGACAATTGTCAATCCTAAAACAATTCTTTTTTTTTCACATATTCTTTTCATTCTTTTACATATTGACAATTCTTTTCTTTTTTCTTTCATATTTTTTTTTCAAATTTTTCAATTCTTTCACATATTGGCCGAGATCGGTTTTACTTTCAGCAATGTTTCCTGGAATCCATACTGCAAAAATATGCTTTCAAATAGTGATTACGATGGAACTGTACAAATCTGGGACGTTTCTGCTCAACGTTCAATCAAACGATATCAGGTAAACAATAAATTACGTTAATAACAGCTCACTGATTTCTTATTTGTATCTGTGTTCGTATTCGATTTCTAAGTGCCTTTGTGGTGACAGGAACACGAAAAGCGATGTTGGTCAGTACAGTTCAATAATGTTGATTCCCATTTGATGGCTTCCGGATCCGATGATGGAACGGTTAGTGTTGCTTTTTGTGTTATGCTTTTTTTGAAGCGGTTAGTTTCCTCAACGAGCTTTGCCAGTCATTTCATAAAATTTTTTAACATTAACCCGGATATGTTGCATCATGACTTCCCTCCTAAATAAGTCGTGTACTGGCACGAAAGCGACTTATATACGGCCCCCGTATCTGTATTGTAAAGTAGTGATGATCCAGAGGAGTGTGTCGATCCAGTGGAATATCG